TGCTATTATGGAAGGAGATAAGCCTATCGACCTGCAAGGGCGAATTTACAGAGATAAGTAGCTGAGATAGCGGCCCCTGCTGGCCAAATAACAGACGAGGATATTCTAATAGAAACTACTCGATATCCAACGATTTATCGATTCAGTGGTTTGTAGGACATGTAGCCATGCCACTACAGTGAAAATATTCCTATTTCATTCAGAATTTAGATTTATTTTTTTGTTTTAGGTTCTTAACTAATACCTTAAATTCAAATTTATAATGAAGAGTAAAATATAACCAGATTATTTGGTAAGATTTCATCCTTACTATATCCAAAATTTCTGAAGTTCACAATAAATCCATAGAATCCATATATTAAGTCTACTTAAACTTCGTTTATTCATTGGTCAAGAAAATTGGGAAATATAGGAATGAATAATAAAGAAATAAATTATAGATTTGTATTTATAGTTGGATACTTTAAGGACTATAACTAAAGCTCCCTGCAGAGGTACCCAGAAGGGGGTTTCATTGCGCAACTTGCACCATTAAAATTAATGAGGGGCGCACTTTTTAACAGAGTTTTCAATTTTGAGGACTGTTTTCATACAGGACTGTATGAATGCCCTATTGAAGAACAATACTTTCTTGATACCGTCTGCAAATAGAGAAACGGAAAACGACATTCTTTGAAATAAAAAAAATGAATTAGGACGAATCAAAACGTAATGACAAATTTTAAAAATTTTATGGCGCGGTGCATGTTTTGCAGGTTCTTGAAAATGGCTCCTGAAGCCGAAACGTTGAATAAACATACAGGAAATAAATAAAAAAACTGTGTTTTTTTGGTGACCTATGGCCTAAAATAGACATATGTTAAATTATGAGAAAATGGCACCAAACCCGAAGGATGTGACTAGAAAATTAAATTATTTATTTATTCAGAAATATTACTATCTGTCACAATTAAGGACATTTATAATAGTGTTCAGAGAGCACATTCACACTCTATTTACAATAAATAAAAATAAATAATAAGGCATTTTATTTCCTGCAATATAATATAATTATTACTTATATGGTTTATTGAGCTTTATGTGAGTTATTTAAAATAAATTATTTGGAAATTACCGAGAGGCTGTCTTACCATCTCGAAATATTGGCTACTGCCATCTGTTGCCGGCTGCTGTTACTATATGTATATTAAATAATATGGATTTCAAATCATTATACAGGGAACATGGAAAGAAATATATATATATATATTTGCTAAGGGCCTATATTTTTTGAAAATGAAATAAGAAAAAAAATCCGTAAAAAAACCGGATTAAAGTTGAAACGATGTGTTACATTCTCAGACTGAAACAGTAAATTTTTTATTAACTTATGGACACAAAGTCCAACTGTTACTATAGCATCCCCCCCCCTCCGAGTATCGTGGAAATTCGCGGAAGACGAACCCATTGATGAGCGCGGCGTGCGTGTGTGGCGCTATCGGCCCTGCGTGCGCTGTTCATTCACCACCGGCACGTCACCTGGCGTGTCACCGTCTTCTCCATTCACAAGCTGCCACGTCACGCTGCTACCATACTCTTCGGCTATTGTCACTGCTGTCTGGATGAACGGAGTGTGTTTTTTTGGAGTAATATGGGTAACATACCTTATTGGTTTAAAAGTTATACAAACTTTAAAAAAAATAACTCGGATCCTCCAATTTATGTGTCTCCTGATAAAATATACAAAAAATATTATTTCTTGACATAAATAATATATAGAATTAAAAACTAAAGAAAAATAAATTAATCAAAAAATGAAAGATTATTTTATTATTATATTGCCCAAAAGTTGCCCCATCAATTTTTTTTGAGGGGGGCCAAATTTTGAGAAAGCTTTGAATTTTTGAGGGGGCACATTTCGACGTGTTTTTTTTTCTGAGTAAAAGTTTCAAACCACTGAACAAGAAGAAAAACATAAACCAGACTACAGAATGTGTAAATATATATGATCTGCGATTTTTGTAATTCTCTTTTCGCTTACAATGTTTTTAAAAACAGAAGAGCAATACAATTTCTTGGTGGGAGGGATTAGTTTATGCGCTATCGGCCTTGTGGGTATGGTCGCCTCTGAATCGATTCAATAACATGAAATTCTTTGGTTTTGGACTCGTTGGCTACCGTGTCCTCTTTAATACTAATTAAGCTATTATCATTTTTGTGTTTACGCAATATTTTTTGAACCATTAAATATCTTTTATGGTTTGAGAGGAAAACGTTGCAGTAAGTTGTTGGAGACCAGATTATCTAGAATTGTATCGGCCTTTTTTTGTTTTGTTGGTTGGTAGTACAGGTTCATTTGTTTTGTTTCTATTTTTCGTAGTTTTCGTTTATTTCTATTTCGTACGTTTATAACTTTAACATAATGCTTATACCTATAGTGAATAACTGATGTTTAAACATGGTTGATTTCTGACTCAAGGATGGATTTAATCTTGGTTTTTTCTAACTTTTGCTGTATAAGCATGTAATAGGGTACTGTTGTAAATAAATATTTTAATATTACGAAATCTAATTTTTTTCAACACTACTATTTTTATATACTGATTTTAATTGGGAATGGAGTTAGTCATATCCATGTACTTATTTAAATACATTATTATTGCAGCGAAAATTCACATTTAAATTTTTCGTACTTCATTATATAAATCAAAGACTGATGTCATAAGTCCATGATAAGAAAAAATACCTAACCCGTTATAAAGAATTTTTTAATATAAGCTCAAAAATATTGGATTCCATATTTTTGAATAGATTTAAATGTTGAATTTTTCAAGAAGTGATAATAAAAAACATTTTATGCGTACTCTTTTTTAGTTTAATAAAGAGGTGTTTGTTTTTAATTTTTTTTTGTTATGCTCGATACAGACCAACTCTGTACCACGAACATATAACTTAGTCTTTTTATTTTTTGTCGCTTATTTTCTCCTCCTTCACACTTCATTCATCGGTTCCACCGTGATGTACTGTGTCTTTGTTCCCTCCGACCACTTCTTCCATGCATACCTCTTTTTCGCGATGCAAGGACCCTTATTTGGTCAACACGTTTCTGGAATTCGACTCTATCCTCACAAACCTCGTTATATTCAGTTTGGATAACCCTTTATATTCTTGAGTCAATATAGCAAATACTTAAAACTATATTTGTATTAATTGGTATCATGACCATAGTAAAATCTCATTCTTCTTTTTCCCATTAATTTCTTCATATAGTCTGCTATTTTGCACAACTCGCGATAATCCCTCATTCTGCACTTCCCCTCTATTTTCATACCATATGTTTTGCACAGGATTTCGTTTTTAACAAACCCTCCATATTTATCCCTCCATTTCTCCATACTAAATTTATTATTATATATAAATTATTTCATACATATTGTTATTTTTTACCGAAACCGAATTGTGCTGAGTTTTGTGCTGAGTGTTGATATTAATTTCATATAATTAATAATATGTGATAGACGACATTAAAACTTATAAAAAGTTACTATAAACCAATGTCTGATTACATACAGAGAACCAGGGAACTTATATTTTGTAATTTTTAAACCAACCACGTTTTTTGTTGAATAAGAAGCAATAACGAAAAAAAATGTTTAATTTAGATTACAATCAATTATTCCATAGGAAAATAGATTAAATTTATATTAAATGCAAATAAATCTTATCTTTTTTAAAACCATTTTAAGAGGACTTTTAAACATTTAAACTACAGTAAGTTCGGTTTTTCATCAAATCATTGATTCTTCGCGATTTTTTTAAAAACTCTCCAACTGATCTAAAGATACTGCACTTCGAAAAAATCTTCCTTGTTTGATTTCCTTTAAGTCTATATTAATTAAGTTGAGCCATTTTCTCTAATTGAGTAAAAATATTATTTGTACGGTAAAATTAGGAATCGACCCAAATATTTTTCCAAGATTATATATAATCTTTTAACTCAATTAAGGATGAATCTCAACTTGTTCTGTTGGAGACCACAACTTAATTAATAAATGGGGTCGATCCATAATTTTACTGGAATATTAGTAGTTTATTTATTTATGATATAAAAAATAAAAAGATTTGTGTCATTTTTACATACGTGGTTAGGTCAAAATTCACTTAAATATATTTGAAAGTTAACCTTTATCACAAATACATTTAGTAACTTTTCGCAATAAATCGACAAGATATAGTATATGTATATTGACCATACCAACTATTTCCATACCATTTAAAAAAAAAAAGATGAAGAAATACATACCTTGTGACTTGTTGAATTTCAAAAAGAGAAGAATGGTTGGGGTGATCAGTCAGAAATAAAAAGGCAAATAAACTAATAATTTTTATTTCTTCTATAACTTCATATTCCTTTTTTACTTTTTATTTTAAGATTACCATTTTTGTACTTATGTCACCTTATTTTGATTATGTTTACTTCATTATTCCACACTTTGTAACGGTCATTATTATCTATTTGTTAGTTCTTGTTATTGTCAATATTCTACCCACTTCATTTTACTTTAATTTGTTTTAACTACATTGTTTATGTTTCTCATACCTTGTTATCTGGTTCTTTTCTTAGCCATGATGAAGGCCTGAACTTCAAGGTCGAAACGTCGGAAAATGATAAAATAAATATTATTATTTATTTTTACCTTCTTATTTCTGACTAATCACCCCAACCATCCTTCTCTTCATTATTCACGACAGCCAACCATCAACCTACTATTATAAATAAATAAAGATATAAAAAAAAAAATGAATAAAAATTGAAAAATAATAACACTGAGGTTATAATGAAGTTAAATATAGCGAATCTATCGATTTAGAAAGCTGATAGAACCGGTCAGCCATAAGTGATTCAATCGATGAATAAAGAAACGCATTGAATAGTTTTTAAGAACTTGCCCTACGTAATATATATTAGCGGAGTTCTTCAAATTCTCCCAGTAGTATTTTATTTAACTTTCGTTGGAGAACTAACCTTCTAGATAAGGGTTATCTTGGAGGCACAAGGTCGGAGGATAATCGATTAGTCGGCCAAGGCGCCAGGTAGGAGTCGATACCTCGTCCGTTGACCCTTGGGTTAGGGATGGCTCTGGAATAAATATTATAAAAAACTATATCTGGGATATAGGTGGCAGCGGGAAGGCGGGAGGTTTTGGCGGTCCTCGGCCTGATTGTAACAGATTTATGGCGGGAGGAGAACCGTGAACAAACAAATATACACATCCACGTCTTCACGGCCCACTAAATTATATCCCCATTAGAACCTGCCTCTATTTGTCTTTCCGGCCCGTCAGGGGATTTCGTTCTTCCACCTCTTTTTTATTATTTCTTTTTCCCAACTTTTTATCTTCCTTTCAGTCCCTCGATTCATTTGGTTTTTTCCCCATTGAGTACATCGTGAACGGATCCTCGCTGCCGATGGACCCTCTTTTCAATTAATCTGTTCGAGATTTATTAATTTATGGGAATATTTGATTTATAAACGGTGGTGAGGGAATATCGATTACTGGTATTATTTATTTATTTTTATTTTTTCATTGTGAGAGAATGAGAAGTTCTCGAGGAGTTATGGTCTAGTCATAACTATTAATGTTATTTCTTTTCATGAAGGCAAAATATATGTGCCTTGAATATAAAACTGAAACCACATCAGGCACATAAATAGAAAGTGGCAAGATGGCTCCCAATTGTAATCTCTCTATTATAATAAAACGTTGTTAGTTATTTTCATGTTTTGTTTTATTTTAGCATTAGGAGATTACGGGAAAACAGGAGCTCAACTAATTAGGTGATTATTTTACAAATTATACAGCTGTTCATTTAATTATATATTTTTGCGCTCCTGTTACCCCCAACTCTCCTAATACAAAATAAAGATTTCGGACTATAAATTTGCACAGAAAATGGTATCCATCTGGAGGTGGTAGTTTGGTTGTGGTAATTTTACCAAGGTGACATCAGTTATTATTCCATCGTTTTCCCTTGAATATAATATATTAATTACTATATTATTATTTATATTGTATTGTGATATACTTATTATGAAATAGAAAAATAAACAAAATATAATGTACAGTGAAAATATTAAAAATAAAAGGCTCAAATTATTGTTCGGCTTATATAAACTGAATAAGTTGAATATATATTGTATAATAATATAAATTCGCAATAAGTATAATAAAGATTTTTAAAGAAATTAAAAATGTTCCGAACTGTGGTTTCTCTCATTTTATTTTATGTCGATAAAAAATAATACCATTTTAACTACAGTATACATGTAATTTAAAGTTGTACAATTTAAGCAACGAGTAGTGCAATTAAATTAACAGTCGTATAATTTGTGAAATGAGGGTTGGTCCTCCATTAGGCTATTAATAATAAAAATAAATTACAATATCAAATTATTGACGGAGGCTAGTCGACTGTTCTACATATCATGGATGATAAATATTCAGGACGCACTCATTATAAATTTTTTTTATTTGTGCCGACGTTTCAAACCAAACATGTGGGTCATCATCAGGGCGTGGTTCGAGAACTGAAGGCTTTCAAGTACTTGAACTGAAGTACTGAATACTTCAAGTACTGCGTCCTGAATATTTGTAACCCATAATACTAAATTATATTAAATGTAGCTGTTTAATTAATAACGAACGTTTTATTATTATGCATAACTCGCACTACATTTTTAAATTTTAAGTAAGAAGCTTAACAGACCAAACAAACCTAAAAAGTTTTTGTTTACATTTTTTTTATAATTCTATAATGGCAAAGGCAAAAGCAGAGTAATGTTGGATTTTTAATAATATTTTAAGCGAATGTCTCAACTTATTTTTAAGATTGATAGTTCAAATTACTCAGCGGGAGCTTGATTTTTTTTTTATACTTAACCAAAAATAAAGAAAAACATTTTATTATATTTATATATTTTCAATTTTTTGTTGGTTTCATATCATGAGGCGACTCTTCTCAACTTCAGCACAGAACATATTTTAGCATTTGGGGGATTGCAATTTCAATTTGACTTGAAAAAAATATTTCGAAATAATACTATTTTTATCTATTTGATTCCTCCCTGTCGATGGACGCGAAATTTAACGGATTCTACGTGGCAGAAGTCGTAATGTATATTGGAAACAACTCGACTACTATACTAATTTTTGACTGAGCACCCCAACTATTCTTCTCTTCATTATCCACGACAGTCAACCAATTACCAATTATATACTAATTTTAAATATTTGTAGACGTATATTCCCTTACAATTAATAAATTGTTTATATAGATATGTAACGATGAATAGGATAATTTCCGTAGTGATAGTGCTTTAATTTGTTTAGCCTTGATGATCACCCACTTGGGCTAAAACGTCGGCAAATAAGAATCTTAAAAAACTGACTGCGTCCTGATCTTCTATCACTCATGTAATTACTAGTAGTGGCTCGACTTAAGTAGAGAGTGATTGCTTCGTCGCCTCCGAGGAAGCGCGGATCTCTCTCGCAGCGGGTGACTTATGTGCTCCGGAGGTTTGGGCAGTGGGTCGAGAAGGGAAGACCTTGGGATGTGAGGAGGAGGGATGCAACAACCTGCCGCTGTCACGAAACTGCAACAAGTTACACGCCAGCTAGTCACGTCAAGTCGCCTGAGATCTGCTCTCGTGTCCGATATCGCGACGCCTGGCCGCTCGCCTCGGGCACAGGTGTCGGGTCTGCGAGGGGTGTCATCCTCTTGGAGGCCATTTATTACAAACCGTTCAGTGGAACAACGCGGCTATTTCTAAGAGCGCATCTTCTCGAGGCATTTCAAACTTGTACCACATCCAAAATACAGTATTAATATAGTATTTTCGATGTGGAATAATTAAAATTTGTGAAGAATTACTTATTAGAGAAAACAAAATACCTGAAAAGATGAACTATAGATCAAGGGTTCTCAAGCTGGGTGTCATTTCATCATGGATCCCAGCGAGCATATGTCAAGGATGCAGCAGGAATAATAGTTAATATTATTCTCGTTAGAATTGTCACTTTGGTAAATAGACATACCGAAAATTCATAAATTTACTTTTATTTTTTTAATCTTATTTATTTAAAAATTATAACAATCTGTCTCAAGGACACACACATAAACATGGATAACTGGGCTGCGAGTATAAGAGAAGATACATTTATTAACAACAATATTAAAATCAAAATCGAATTCCTCAACATAACTCTGAAACTATATGTTTAGAACTCCAACTTAACTAGGCAAAAGCACTGCAAGAGGACGTCGCTATGTTTGCTTAAATGGATTAGTTCCCGAGAAATCTTTGTCAGAATAAGTGAAATGTAAGGACTAAACACCCGATTGATCTATGTCCCATTCTCGACTTATGAGGATTTAATAAGGATAAACATTTTTGTGGGTTTTAGAGGAACTTTTAAACCAGTGAATAAGGGATTATATTTCAAACACTTCAGTTGATCTGTTCTGTTTTCCCTTGTTCACTGGTTTGAAAATACCTCTAAATTCATAATAGATAGATCTATGAAATTTTCTTCCCTTTTTTTATTGTTAGGTTTTCCTCCATTCAATTTAAATACTATGTCTTCAGGATCACTGGCGGATCTACGAGGGGACTTTCGAGCTGAAGCCCCCTCCCAAAATGAAGAATACAATATTTTTTTCATTGGTCTATATTTGGTAATCTAAGCTAAGTGCTTAAATAATAATAATAATGCAGAAAAAATATTTAAAAAATAACTCTAAAAGTATTATAAGTATTATTATGTGTTTAGAACTCCAACTTAACTAGGCAAGAGCACTGCAAGAGGACACCGCTATAGTTGCTTGAATGGATTAGTTCCCGAAAAATCTTTGTCAGAATAAGTCAAATGTAAGGACTAAACACCCGATTGATCTATATCCAATTCCCTACTTATGAGGATTTAATAAGGATAAATATTTTTGTGGGTTTTAGAGGAACTTTCAATCAGTGAACAAGGGATTATATTTCAAACACTTCAGTTGATCTGTTCTGTTTTCCCTTGTTCACTGGTTCGAAAATACCTCTTACGCGTAAAATAAAAAAAATATTTATCCTTCCGAAAATTCACAGTAGATTGATCTATGATATTTCATTCCTGTTTTTTATTGTTAGGTTTCCCTTAATTCAATTTAAGGACTATGACTTCAGGGTCATTGGAAGATCTACGAGGAGGCTTTCGGGCTGAATCCCCTCTCCCCACCTCCCAAATGAAGAATACAATATTTTTTTCATTGGTCTATATTTGGTAATGTGAGTAATCTGAGCTAAATGCTTAAAGAATAATAATAATGCATATACAGCTACTAAATAAATCCATGTGTTATGAAAAAAATATAAAAAAAATATCTCTAAAAGTATTATTGTTTGTTTCATTACATTTTTAATAGAACTTCAAAATTCACTTAAACACTACTCATATGGGAAGTTAGTTTCTTTCTTTTTCTTCCCAAGTAATTATCGTTTTATATATAAAGAAATAGCTTTCGGGATGAACACCCACTATCCCCAAAATAAATCCTGGATCCGCTACTGGTGAGGATTTATCCACATCTTATAGAATATAAAATAAATTTCTCACTCATATGTTGAGAATAAAGAAAAATGGGAATTAAGTACTTACACGTGCCTTGTTCTGTCAAAGAGTTTTGGGAAATGTTCAAGCAGATATAGTCAACATTATGAGGGATACAAGCATTTTAAACATTTACTACATTTCTACCTATATTTTTTTATATTTTAAATATAAGATTGGGACCTAGCCGGAGGTATAATAGGTAAATAGCAATACCAGCCTTTATCAAAATGTAATGTTGAGGCCTCAGTGGTCGATCAAGAGTCCGGAACGCCCGAGCCTGATACCGATTCGATTTTGACCATACGCGCAGAATTCGTGGGGGCCAGGAGGGGCGATCGAACTTCATCCAATGAAAATAGAGGCGAGGAGAATATTGTTTCGTCCCCCCCCCTCATCAATATTTCGAAGAATATCAAAATCAACAGCAATTAATCTACATGAATGAATAAAATATGTAAACTAAAATCACTTAAAATATATATATATATATACGGTGTCTCGTAAGAAGAGGGAAATATTTATAGGAGTGATAACAGACCTCAAGAGCTACAAAAAATGTTTATTATGATTTTAGGCAGAACAGTACTTATTTTTAAATAAGTCAAGTTTTTTTTTTAAGGAAGCGATAACTAAAATGAAATTTAATTCGAATGATTAAAAAATTGCTCTTAAGTTAAATAGACAAAGATGAAGATCCCCTTAAATAAGCTTTTAAATAGACAAAATTTACTTTAAATTTAACTATAGTTAGTCATTATTTATGATTTAGTCAAAACCATTTAAAGGGGAAGTTCTGTTTAAAAATACATATACTCCACGAAATGAAAATTTTCTCGTTTAATTAAGATTTGTGTCAATACTAATTATGTCGAGGCTTATTATGAATATTTACTTCTGGATTTACCTCTAGTTGTGTAAAAAATTATATGATTTTTCACTCTGCCACCTAAAAATGCCCGTATTTTCTGCAAACATGACTACAATAAATTATGACAAAGCTTAATTTTTCTCCACTACCTGGGATGTATTATAATACATATAAATGTAGAAACGAACTTTTCATTTCTAAAAAAAAAAATATTTTTTTTTGATTACTCAACATCTAAGTGGTATTGAAACTGTTTTTTAAACATTTTTTTATTAAAGTCTCTTTTATAGGGATTTATTCGCATTTGTAAGTGATTAAATAAATGTTTCTAGTCCTAATAGTTATGTTTAAAATAAAGAAATCTGATGATTGCTCCAATTATTTTCATGAAAACGTAAATATATGGGAACATTTATTAAACTTAAATAGTTTAAAAATTTGTATTGTGTAAAAATTCTTGTACTTGCTGATTGTTTCTTCTTACAGCGTTTGATCATATTTGATGTTACTCAATGGGATACATAGTATAATATAGAATATATTTCTTTGTAAAAAAATATTCTAGAAACTTCTTTTTTCTTAACTTACAGGACGTACCACATTTTATTTAAAGAATATTGTCATTTTATATAACATTATGTTATATGAATACTAAAATCACAAACATTATTAAAATATATTTTTTATAAAATTAATTTTGTGAAGCAATAATGGTCGTTCACTCATTAGTTTGGGAGTTTATTTATGTAACATCATAATGTATGCCTATGTCTCTTTTGTAGAAACATTTTCTCTTTGTACAATACATTGTACACCATTATATATTGTTATAATATTACAATAAATACATATATATACCAGTTATTTACATTAGATAAAATAGGAGTTATCATACCTGGTGGAACCCTAGGTAGTTTTCGATGGTGTGGGTAGCGAAGAAAACCTCACCCTCACACGTCAGGATGAGGAGAAATCCGTTTAGGGCCTGTTGAAACAATATTATATTATATATTATGCATATTATATTTAAATCTATATTATCTTAACAATAATACGTTCAATTAAATAGAAGGAATAGGCATTGTGTAATAGAAAAATAGAGACTAAGAAAACATTTTAAACTAGTTGGTCCACGCAAAGAATTCGCATAGCATATTGTTAGTAAGAAATGGAAATAAGTAAATGAAAAGTATTATGGAATAAAATATGATAAGTAATGAAACGGTCTATTTCTGGGGTTTTAAAACGCAGCCACATCTCTACAGTAACGGATCCAGGATTTAATTTTTGGGAGATTCAACCAGAGAGCTTTTTCTCTATATATATTTAGAATATATATATATATATATATATATATATATATATATATATATGTATGTATGCATGCATTATATAATATTTAATAATTATTTAATGCACATAATAATTACTTGGGAAGAAAAAGAAAGAAACTGATATGAAATTATTTTAAAAATGCGATTACACGAACAATAATACTTTTAGATATAGTTTTCAATACTTTTTTTAAAAATAAGACATGGTTGTATTCAGTAGCTATATATGTACATTCACAGTAACAAATATAGACCAATAAAAACATTTTTTGCTCACTTTTGGGGGACTTCAACTCGAATCAGAATATTGTGCACTTGTTGTAACTATATTTGATATATAAAAGGATTTGTGTCATTTTGATAGAATTACTGTATTTTTTTTATCGATAATTAAGGTCGAAATTCACAAAAAACTTTCTTAAAAGTTCAAATATATATTAAGTGAATTTTTACAATAAACCGAAGAGGTAAACATAATTAATTTAGATATTTAATACCTTCGGCCACTTAGAAGATATTGTTTTCTTTATCCAGAAAAGTTTCACATTTCAATCTTAAAATAACTTGAATATGCTGACGTTTTTTTTGCTATAAACCGACTATATTACTTATTAAAAGTAACTGTTACTTTTAACTGATCCAAAAGTTTCAGTTTACAGGCTGATAGATGTTAGTAGTTTTTTCTATATATTATAAAGGGTCAAAGACACACTTTTAAAAATATTTTTCCGTTTTCCTTCGCCTCAACATTATATTATGTATAATTATATAACTAAAATAAGCGTTTAGCTCGAAAAGAGACATAGGTACAGTGATTACATTATAAATAGAAAAATCTAAACTATAAAGCCACAAGTCCTTACACATACAGGTGAACAGTTAATCTGCTAATGTTTCGCCAATTTAGTCATCATCAGGGCAGAAAAAGAAGATCACATATATCCAGAACGATACAAAACACAGAAAAATAAAAAACCAAATCATCGATATCTTACCATACCATCCAAATACATACTGAACGAAACAGAGTGTTTATAGAACACATTGCAGAGAAAGGTTATATTAAACAGCTGATTAGAAGAGATACAAGGTTAAAAATACACATATTTAAGATATAATGATATAAAAATGTGTTACTTAAACTAAATAGAGAAAAATGAAGAACTAATAAATAAATACAAAAAAAAAAAGCCCGAAGGTGTGTATAACATCAATAACCAACTAACCACAGAGGATAAACGACTACTTCACAAATAATATTGCTAAAATAAGTATATGGCTCAAAAAGAGACATACAGTGATTACGTTATAAATGGGAAAATCCTAATTATCAAAGAGGTAAGTCTTTATAACCTGCCTGTGATGAACCTGAAATAACATATTTTTATATTATTATTTATCAGCTGTTTGATATAATCTTCCTCAGCTGCGTTCATGGAACCTTCTTTTTCCTTCAGTAGGTATTTGCATGGCTTGACGAGATGTCAGTAGATAAATAAATATATGTTTTTTCTTTCCGCATGTTGGTGATATTTTTACTTTCCTACCTATACTAGGTTAAGGAAAATATTGCAATCGGGTCAAATTTCCGACATGCGGTTTTCGACGGATCTATACGTTTAAGAACCCCCTGAGTTCGAAAAACACATTTTTAGCCATTGGTCTGTCTGTCTGTGCCAAGATTTTCTCGGGAACTACTGAACCGATTTTGTTGCTTCTTTTTTTATTTTGTAGGGTTTTGACTACTGATGCCTGTGACAGAAATTCGGTGCTCCATGCGCAATAGCTTGCGCGCAATAAATGAAAAACATATTTTTCTATAGACTGTAGCGCAAAAACGGCTCTAACGATTTTGATGAAACTTTTCTATAATGTTCTAATCATTGTTCTTTCAATTTTCGTATATAGACTAAATTCCCGAAAAAAATCAGGAAAAAAAGTTATAAAGAAAAGAAAAATGTTATGGGCCTAACTCCCTAAGTATATATTATACGGTAAAATTTATAATAAAACTTTTGAAAGATAATTAAATTACCAACAAAACAAAAAAAAATCATCGGAATCGAACCAGTATTAGCGATGATACAGCTTATTCTATTTTTTACACATTTTTTAACTTATTACTTTCCTACCTATACTAGGTAAGGAAAGTATTGCAATCGGGTCAAATTTCCGACATGCGGTTTTCGACGGATCTATACGTTTCACAGTCCCCTGAGTCCGAAAAACACATTTTTAGCCATTGGTCTGTCTGGCTGTCTGTCTGTCTGTGCCAAGATTTTCTCGGGAACTACTGAACCGATTTTGTTGCTTCTTTTTTTATTTTGTAGGGTTTTGACTACTGATGCCTGTGACAAAAATTCGGTGCTCCATGCGCAATAGCTTGCGCGCAATAAATGAAAAACATGTTTTTCTATAGACTGTAGCGCAAAAACGGCTCTAACGATTTTGATGAAACTTTTCTATAATGTTCTAATTATTGTTCTTTCAATTTTCGTATATAGACTAAATTCCCGAAAAAAATCAGGAAAAAAAGTTATAAAGAAAAGAAAAATGTTATGGGGCCTAACTCCCTAAGTATATATTATACGGTAAAATTTATAATAAAACTTTTGAATGATAATTAAATTACCAACAAAAACAAAAAAAATCATCGGAATCGAACCAGTATTAGCGATGATACAGCTTATTTTATTTTTACACATTTTTTAACTTATTACTTTCCTACCTATACTAGGCAAGGAAAGTATTGCAATCGGGTCAAATTTCCGACATGCGGTTTTCGACGGATTCATACGTTTCAGAGCCCTCTTAGCCCGAAAAGCACATTTTTAGCCATTGGTCTGCCTGTCTGTCTGTCCACCGTTTAGCCTGTCGTTTGAAAGGTAATGGAATTCCCTGAAAAGCTATATAAAAATTGTTCATTTTGGACAACTATTAACAAAGTTCAATTACTAATGTAAGGTTACGGTTTCATATCCTGGTATCTTTTTTTTTTTTTTTTTGTTCTTCCCTACCTCGCCTTTTAGGCTATACGGGATTTTCCCGGGCCGGGGGGTGAGGGCGGGGAATTTAAAATCCCCTCCGGCACCGGGACGCGAACTCGTACTTTTTATATCTTCTCAAATCTCTGTTATCCGGTTGCCAGGCAACTAGCGGTGCTGTTACACACGCTTTAGCCTATTCGGCCACCCCGCCCCCATATCCTGGTATCAGAAAGGGATGAATGAGAGAATAAAGATGACTAATTGAAAGTTAGAAAATCTGTTGCCCGTATCACACAATCTCCACTATTTCCCCTACTTTTAACAGAAATTATTGTTTGACAATACTAAGCTAAGGAAAAAAGTTTTTGATCAGCAATATTAGAGAGTATTGAAATGTGTACACTGATCTATCTTAAGCCGGTTTACATTGCTTTAGTTTATCAAATGAATCGTACTCAAATCTTATGTTTGATCAATTTTCCGGAAAATGTATTTAATTCAATTCTGTTTTGCTTCTTCATGAACATATGTAAAGATATAAAATCTTTTCTGAAATAGGTAGGAAAGTCGTGTGAATGGACACACCAGATATTTTGTTATTCCTAATGATGCTTGAATTGGCGAAACGTTGGCAGCTTAACCGTTCGCCTGTATGTTAAAGATTAATTCATGGTTTTATAGTTGGAATTTTTGCAATTATAATATAATTTTATCATTTCAGACGGGTTTAAATATTATCATTAATGCCCGATGGATATTTCACAAACAAAATTAACTTTGGTATACGACGAGGCAATAACATCACCTGTCGTGACGAGAGTGGAACGGTCCAGCGTGCTGAGCTGGCTTGCGAGACACGAAACGCCATTAATCTAAAAATTAGCGGCTGGGAAGGCAAAAATTAATATCTCGCTGGAGAGGTGTGTTATAGGTGAGTAAGGAGGAAGCTATAGCCGATATCTTTATCAGAGATAATGGATATCGAGATATCGTGACCCCCGGGATACCGAGCATGCGCCCCTCGCCCAGTCAATATTGTATTAATTGTTCCGGGTGGAAGGAGGGTGGAAGATGGGGCCTCCATCACGCCTAATAGCAGAAGCCATCTTGGGGGCCAATTCACCCCTTAACAACCCTCGTTTTTTCCTCCTCATCTCTGACAAATCACGGGTCTCCGCCGGCCATAGTTCCGATGTGACATTCTGTCTGGAAAGGGCATTGGAATATCTGGCATTATGATGAAAATTTGTCCATATTTATTCGTAAAAAATAGTAAAGTAAGAAAACTTATTTAAAAAATAGTTTTTTTAAATGGTTATTTTCACGGTTGTGTAGATCTACATCATTCAGAAAGGAGTAGAGTTTCTGTCCGTAAGAAAAAACGTTTGTATATTTTATGGTGTTTCAAGATTATTTCAAATGAAAGTGTCGAAGTGTTATAGATAAGGAAACATTATTTTCTAAATGCCAGAATATCTTAGGCTTTAAATGAATTATTTCATAAAATTATAAATCTTTATGGCATTATTATAAATGTTAAAAAATGCGCAATCTTTATCTTTCCATAGGTTTATTAGGATCAATAGTGTACTTTTTTTTTTAAACTTCATATTAAAAATTCTTAAGTTAAGTATGCTTAAAGAAAGCAGAATGATATTCTGTTAATTTAGATAACGTATTTCTTTATAGTAAATGACCATCTTAGACTGTTTGTATTCTTTAAATTTTGATTAAATAACCTCTAGCTTATTCATTGGAAATCAAATTTTTTTTTTTTTTTTTTTATTTAAGTTGATACAGAAGGGTCAAAAAATCAAGATGGAGGCCACTGTTTCTGACAATGTACAAATGTACTCGCAACTCTCTTATTGTAGCATGCAGAACTGTTGGCAATAAGTTATTCTATTCGGAACCTCAAATATAATAACCAGCAAATACATATCTGTGCAGACTCAGAATCTGCCCCTAAGGCTATGAACAATTCAACAGTAAGCTATGTCTTGACTGAGTGTTATGCCGATGAGACGCATCGGACTGAAGTATAATATTAGTGCAATTTAAAAAATAACATAATAAAAAATGTTGTTTTTGTTTTTTGAAAAATCAGAATTATTTAACAAAATTTAAGTATTTTTTTCTGTACTTTTGAATTTTGTATTGTGTAAATCTAAAATGATACTCAGTGATTGAGAAGCTTCCACTGTTAGAATAATTACATAATAAAACAATATTGAGATTAAATACTTTTTCTTAAAAAATATATAATATATGATACTGCAAGAAAAAATAACATAAATTTATTAATCAGGTTTGATAGGAAAATAAATAAATAAAACCTTGACACGTCAAAAATTAAAAAGTTATGCACATGTTTTCATATTTTTATTGTAAACCTGTAGACCTTCTGGTATATAGAATAAACCATTTCCTTTTTCCATAAAACTAAAAAAAATTGTGCAGTCACACTTTCATATTTATTATCTTTATTGAGTCGAAACTGATATATTTCCAAATCAGTTATCGTTTTGGTGCATATATCCTTTTCTTCAGAACTTCAGAAAGTTAAACGATTTATGTTACATTAACATCTAATATGTTCAAACCGATCCATTTTCTGAGGTTTTTCCAAACTTAAGTCGAAGAAAAAACAGACGTTTTACAATTTTTATTATTAGCACTTCCTTATATTTTTGTCTTAATGTTAAATATTTATTGAAATATGCCTAGATTATTAATGAACATAAAATTGTGAGGTTCTGAAGAAAGCAATTGTTTCATTTGAATTACAAATATTTTCGTAGAATTATATTATTTATTATGGAGTTTTAATCGTTCCTTGTTGAAAGTAAAACCGCTGATGAAGGAATTAAACAATAAATTATGGATGAACTTGATGAATATTTTAAAGCACTAATTGCTCCAGGACGGTACCATGGCTATGTCTCTGCTTCCAGTAATGATTATTTTAGAGAACGGCTGAATTAGTGTTCCTTGTGAGGAATTTTAAATAAATAAACCATACCTAATTGCGACTATTTAAATAAAAAAAATTCTAATGTTGATACCGTTGAATTTATCATAAACTTTAAGAACGAAAACATGCGGAATTATTAATAGTAGTCCGCGTTATAGACTCTTTTTTATCAAATTAAAACTTCGTGAATAGTATCATCTCTTAGTAACCTACAATTTTTTTATTTACACAAATTCTTGGAATTGGGGCGTTCACAATCGGGGTATCGGCAAACTTTGTCAATTTAATAAGTATTAAAAACTCACGAACATCCATTTATTTTCTACTTCAATCGTAAGATAATTCGATCACATAATCGAGAATAAAGATGGTATAGGGTGTTATGGATAGGTTGGACTTTAAGGATAATTCTCTTGGACTTTAAGGGAAATTTCAGGGGCAAGTTTTAGTCCTTTATAACGTGATATTATAATTACTAATAATAAGCTACTAAAATGTTATTACCACGTAAAGTCCCACTCTCATTTTTCTTGTAAACAATTTCTTTTCTCTTTCGAAACCTATGTAGAATGACATTGAAATTTATTTTTACTCCTAAGGAATAATTAAAGCACTTTAAATTATATATTTTTTCAAACTTTTGATTATGTATTTTCAAACTTTGCCCCACCACTTTGATGGCCATTGCCAAGCAAATAACATAACACCAGATATTTAAGCTTTGAAAAGAGGGAGCAGTGACGAAATTTCTTCAGAGTGTAGTAGTAGCCATGGAGTTAAAGGACAGACACCAGCGGATAGACCAGTAGGGAAACCTCTCTTTACGCATCCGTTTCTTATACTTTGAGCACGTACCTTTATTGTTGTCATTACCACTGCATATAATATCTAGCTACCTGTTCAAATTATTTCATTTATTATAATTCGTGTTTGACTACGGTTTGCAGCACGTTGGAAAAAACAAAAAATATAATACTTGTTACACGGCGGTTTTAACCGAATAAAATACGTGAATATGTCATTACCAACTTTAAAACTCGTTCCGTTCCCACAACCCAATTATTAGCTTTACTTACTTTAATTACTGAGCAAAAACCACTTATATCTTAGCCATTCGCTCAGATAAAGCTGAGCGGCAATAGATGGTGTAGTTATTTCGAAAATTGTATTTAAATGTCGTCAAAATTATTAAAACTTTATCATGAAAATTGCCCATAACCTGAGAATCACCCTTAAAGCAAATAAGCTTCATTGTTGATTCAAACATTCCAGTTTTTTCTAGATTGAAGAATAATGCCCTTTGTTGACAACTGTATGAATAAAGTTCCCGAAAGGAAATTTTAAAATGTTCATCATTGTGGTTTCAATAGTGCTCTTCAGTGTATTCCATACCTCCCTACTAACAGTTTTGCTAACAGTAAGTTGAACATTTTATCTTATCTTTATCATTATCTTCATAGTTAAATAACGGTTTTAGATATTTTCTGAAGTATGTCTATTACTGGTACCGAACCCTAGTCCATTATCAGGAAAATTTAATTTCGGGGTGTCCATCACTAGTAGTGTTACCCAAATGCGAGACCGAGACGAGTCTTGGTCTTGCAATCTCAGTCTTGGTCATGGTCTTGGTCTTGTGCAAGAGTCTCGCAACAGTCTTGCAGTTAATTATTAGCTTATTACTGTAGAGATATTACTGTAATTTTTTAGATGGGAGAAACCTAACTAAGCCCGAATGAAAAATTAGAAGATTTAAATGCAAAAGTACATTGGTTATACCAATTATTTACATATAGTAACTAAGATTGTCAAGTATTAGTAACTATTTTGTTTTAATTTTTATTTAAAAAATCGATTTTTTTTACCAGTCCTGGTCTTGGTCTTGCAACAGTTAAGAGGCCTTGCTCAAGACCGATTTTGGGCAACACTAATCACAAGTGCAAAAAGGTCTTTTTTTTTTAAGTGGAGATTATATCTGCATAACTTTTTTTCAATTTTAAAGTATTAAAAATAAAATAGGAGACCCTAGAGATTCTAAATGTACAACGGAGAAGTTTATAACTATAGTAATTACGGTGGCATAAGCCAAAATCACAAAAATGTCCTAACTATATCCATCACTGGGGCACTTACTCTAAGAAAATATAGGGCCGCTTGGCGTGACCTCTACTCCCAAAATGTCAAAATAACGAGCTTAATAAGCCAAAACAGCCCAATATTTTTCTTGGCCATTCTTTTTTTTTTTCGATTCAAGTAAAAAGCAAATGGGTATTGAAGAGTTTTTAGTACCTCATTAAGTTATTTAATTTAATGAGAAAACGCCCCACTTCTGAGAATTTTCGTAGATAAAACGTTTGTAGGTTATGATATGATTAACGAAATACTAGGAGGATGTCAATAATTTGATAAAACGAGATCACGGACTATATCTTATTGATAACTTAAACATTATTTTCTGTAATTTAACGTTTTTCTATAGTAACCTCTGTGGTGTCAAATATCCTTTGTAATTCCTTTTGCTTAGAAATGTTAAATTAATCTAAAAGTGTCAACAATCCTCATGGCGGGATTAAAACGGTACGGATACACTGAAGGTGTAGTCGTAGGACATTTTTTTTTTTGGTGGAAATACACGCCCGTTGGTGACAGGACGCAGGTTTCCCACGAAGAATTACTACAAAAAAAAAAAGATAATGCACCGCTGACATGTGGCCGGGTAATAATAAGCAGCGAGGTATTTCGGCGGCCTATATGGAAAGCGAGCGAACAAGCGAAGCGTTAACCGGAAGCGGCAGCTGCCGATCAGATCTCAACGCAGATAGCAACAGCTCTAATTAAATCAACTGCTGCTACTAGTTAGTCAACTGGGGGGGGAAGGAGATTTTTAAATTAATAGC